GTGTGCCTTGGCAGTCTAAAGTATAACCTAAAACGCCAACGAGCAATCCCCAAGGCATTTAAACAAACATTTTTTAAAAGTACATTATTTCAAGAAAAAGGGAAGAATATAATTACCCAATAGAGCTTAGGAGGCACTGACATTATTTTAAGTCAATTACATTTCTACTACAGTTTGTGATAAAACCATTATTATGAACAAACTACAATAAGAGCGTACAACAACGCAACACTTTTACGTAACTTTAATTCCAATATGTTTTGTATCCTACCTTTCCCTCTTCACTTCCCGAGCAGTAATCCGGTGTTTATGTACCAAAAGGAACAGCTCAGTAGGCTAGCTTGAGGTTTAGCACTGCCTGGACTGAACTTCTGCTCACACAAGCGTAACTACTCAGTGCGACCTTTTCCTCCTTGTTGTTCACTTCTTGTCTTGTTCGCTCTATTGTTATAAAATATACAATAAATAAAACGCGATGAAAAATGAATTGCGATAAGCTTACTAAGCCACACAGGGAGAATGAGTAAAATGTGCTGGCTACGTGCGCACTGCGCACCTGTCTCTAATAACGTGGAGAAATCCGTTTAAATGGTTTCACCTGGTGGGAGAAGCCTATGGCACGTAGTGAAAACTAATGACCACATTTAAAAGCAATCAAATCTGGGATGTATTGATAACATACGCCATCAATACTGTAGACATAAATAAAGATATTTTACTTCTCAATTTTTCTTTTTTTTCAAATTACAATTAAGGTGCCATTACTGGACCTAATAAAAAAATAATAATATCTGAAATAAGATTTGAGATCAGTGAATTCCTTCAATCAAGTTTTAATGAGTGCAAGACAACTAAAACAAAGGAAAAGGTCTCTGTCACTCAGTCTCTCTCATTATAAAATTATAATATTTATGTACTGCAGACACCAAATGCATACTTTAAAAAAAATCATATATCACAGGTGCTTTCTTTTTTATTTAATATTCACATTCTTCATGACTTACTGTAAATCAGTGTGTTCCTAATTACCTAATATAATTGTTTTTTTTTGTTGCTGTTTTAATGTTAATTAATTTAATATGAATAAAAGAGTCAAAGCATTCAGTTGCAGCCTATGATGACTAAACAGAAGTATTTTAGCATAGGTAACATTTTACAGACTAACGTAAATGTTCACTGAATAGAAAAATGTGAAGAATCAAGTAGCTATTTGCAAACTTTATGAATTCTGACTATTGCCCTCATTTTTTGTTGAATCCCAAAAATACATTTTCCTTACATACACAATACCTGGTTCCCTTTAACCCATTTCGCTGTCCAACTCTCCATTGAGTGACACCCACAACAATTATATTCAAGACAAGAAAGTGTAGTTCAGGTCATCCACAACAGTAAGAAAGAAAGTTTACATTCAGCAGGGTGTAAACTGTGGCTGAGGAGGTAATGTATTTTTGACGCCAGGCAACAAAGTAAACACTCCCCGTAGAGAAAAAGAGATAACTGAAATAAAACAGAGACCTTTAGCTTATTTAACACCAAGACATTAAGGGGTTAATTTACCCGGGATTTAAGATGTAACATCTACATTGGTCAATTGTTTTTCTACCAGTCACTGTTACTCCTTTACTGAGTCAGACATTGGCAAAGTTACTCTGCTCTCTACTCTTATTATAGGTCATTTCCTGCATTGCTATCCCAATTGAAATAATACTGTTAACATTTGTGCACTAAAATTACGATTTAAGGAATACATCAAAATGTCTTACCGAAGTCCAGGAGTAAATCCTAAAATCTTATCCAACCTGGAGTGTAGGCAAACACTAGTGTGCCAGGACTCATATAAATAGCCTTCACCTCATTATGGTCTGCTCATTTGCATATAAAGGGCTCTTTATCTTCAGGTCAGCAGAATAAAAGGTCTCTCTCATTGAAAGTTCTTTTTTTTATTATTCTTAGAGATAATCAGATGCATTTAAAAAACTGCTGAAGAATTTAACCGTTTACTTGATCTGGACTATGGACAACTGTCATGTGCTGTGCCCCAAAAGCCGTAGATAGCATTGAGGGGAACACAAAGTCCTTCCATTCACTCATCATGATATCTTAATACACAGATTTTACACAACTTTAACATTACATGTATACCTTTACTCTTCAGCTTTAACCTGATATTTATACAGCAACGTGAAACAAATCCTAGCAATATTTTCAGAATATGCTTGATCATGGGTTTTATTGTTGAGCTATCATGAATAGGTGTATCTTGTAAATTAGTATCTGATGATTTCACATTAGCATAAGTGATGTGCTTCACTGATTGGAGATGTGATTTAATCAAAAATATTCCAGTAAAAGATGTCCCATTTGTTATAACGTGTTTACACAAACCTGCCATCATTTCTCTGTCCACCTTCATGTGGGGGTTCATCGTTGCAGGAAGAAAAGCTTTCAGACTAAATGTTTGAAGGATGCACGTCACTTTCTGTACTGTCTTAAACCTTTCCCTAGAATATGTTATTAATTGTAAGGTGTCATGGGTGATTTGAAAGGCGCCTCTAAATAGAATGAATTATTATTATTATTATTGTCATTAGTGACTTTTCCAAAGAAAACCCAAAAATGAGTGGGTTTTTTAGGAAAATATTTGTACACTTGTGCCCAGAGATCCAAAGTCCAACTCCTATGCCATAATGCCAGTCATGAGACGCAGACATGCCGTCTGGCCCGAGAGATACCAATCATAGCTGAAGTCAGATGTTTCCTAAATGTTAGAGCTGAAAAGTGTGCATAATGAAATGCAGATATGGCTAAAGTACACACATCCTTTACTCAAGTAGAAGTACAGATTATCGTGTTTGAAAATACTCTGGTAAAAGTAGAAGTACTGACTACACTTCTTTATTCAAGTAAAAGTAAAGAAGTATGGGCTTAGCAATGTACTTAAGTAAAAAGTACCCATAATCTGTTTTAAAGAGTAATTTACTGACCTCACTTTATATTAATAGAACAATAATGTCATTGTTAGCTAATGAATGTTTCGATGCTGAACAACGGCAAAATGACAAAGTTTTCATTGGTCCCTCTTGTTTAGAGAGGACCAGGAAATGATGTCCGGCAATGGCTCAGTCAGTAGGGGATTGGACTGTAAGCCGTAGGGCCGCCGGTTCAAGTCCCCGACCAGACCTAAAAATGGAGTGTGGACTGCTACATGGAGAGGTCCCAGTTCACCTCCTGCCCTGCCGTGGTACCCTTGAGCAAGGCCCATTGCTCCCCGGGCGCTGTACAATAGCTGCCCACTGCTCCTAGTACTAGTCTCCTGGTACTGTGTGTGCTGTGTGCTCTGCATGTGTGACCATTAAAGAGGGTTTCATCCCTCGCAATTTTATTATTATAGGGATACACGGATCGTGTTCAAATCAATAGGTACACAATGACTCTAAATAATAATGATCACGCCACCAAACAGATTAAAACTAAAGTGACTAACCTGTTTTGAAAATGTAAGAAGTAGAAAGTACAGCTATTTGTTTTAAAAATGTAAGAAGTAGCAATGCCACAATGGAAAGATATGTCACAAAATATGCTTTTAAAATCTTACAAGTGAAAAGAAAAGAGTGAACTGTATTAAGTATGCAACCTCTCAAATCAAAATGCTGAAGTGCTGTGGCCTCAAATCTGTGCTGAATACTGTAGGAGCATAAGTATGCAGATGCAGACTCAGTGAAGGGGTTAAATGAGGACATGTCCATTGACAATTGACTACTTGTACAGTACATACAGGAGGCGTGTGGCGCAGTGGGTAAACGTTGTTGTTCGGATCAGGGGAGCACCGGTTCAAACCCCACTGCAGTCAGCATGTCGTTGTGTCCCTGGGCAAGACACTTCACCCCNATTTGGTCATTTATACTTTAAGGCCTCAAAGTGCAAACATTTGGAGCAGATTTAGATTACGAGGAGAACAAAGGGCAAGGGGGGCCTAAACACATTAACACAAACATTCAGTTCTGCTTAAGAAAATCAATGAAGGCCACACAATAGCCTCAGGAAAAAACACAGGGACAAAAGGGTGCTTGCTCCAAGTAAAATCTTAAAAAGGAGCCACTTATTTCCCTCAGCCACTATGCTTATATAATAACAGATTACTTTGCTACAGTGCACTAAAGTAAAGCACTGAATTATGATCAAAATAGATAAAATAGGCATCTCAATTCAACCCAACACTGATCCATAAATAGCAGGACTGAAAAAAAGCTCTAGTTCCATGTAGTCTTGTTAATGTGTTTAGGCCCCCCTTGCCCTTTGTTCTCCTCGTAATCTAAATCTGCTCCAAATGTTTGCACTTTGAGGCCTTAAAGTATAAATGACCAAATCAGATCATTGATAACAAAAGGCTTTGGTTGAAGATCCTATTATTCAATTATTATGAACTTTAAACTGTTGTGAAAATGTTCAATCTCATGGCTCACCACAGGAAATCATTTGTTTGTGCTGAAACATTCTTTCATTGAAACCAACTTTTTTCTCTATCTTTTTTTTCAAGGTTTTTCTGTACCTGCCAAGGAAAGTATGATGGAAAATTCGTCAAACTCTGTAAGTGCTTTAGCATACTCCTTCACACTTTCCCTTGCTGAATCTGTGCAGTCACCACTTTTTTTTTAACATTTTGATGACTTTGCTGAAGTACATTGTGTGTTTATTTTTAAATGCATGCAGCTTTACAATGTAACTGAACCCTTTTTGAATTGTGTAGGACATAATCAGCATTTGTGTTCAAGATCCAAGGCTCTTAAAAGATTACCTCTGGCACACACACGTCGACTATGAGATCTGTTTACATGTAAGTGCATTTTGGAGAATTTCTTATTGGTGAATTCGACAGTGATAAAAGTATTTTGTTTTTCTGTTATTTTGCAGACCAATAGCATGTGCTTTCGAAAAAAGTCTTCATGTGTAAGACGGCGTTACAGTGAGTTTGTTTGGCTGCGACATTGTCTGGAACAGAATGCTCTGATCATGTATGTTCAAACCTCAGCTTCAAACCAATTATTGACTTTAATTTGGCATGCAATAGGTTTCTCTAAGCAATTTCTTTTTTTGGTTGGTTATTCTGTTCAGCGAGTTGCCCAAATTGCCGTCATGGAACCCCTTCTTCAGTTCGAATAACCCAGGACAGGTCGCACAGAGGATGAAGGGCTTTGAGGAGTTTTTAGAAAGGTGAGTTGCTGCTAAAATAATGGCAGCAATCAAATTATAAGACTGCCATATAGAGCTATGCTTTTATGCCCCCCCCCCCCCCCCC